CGACTTACAGTCATGTGTGCATACATTTTTACGTATGGGTGGTCCCGGGGATCGAACCCACTACTCTGGCGTTACAAGCGCCATGCTCTACCAATTGAGCTACAGAGGACCACATATTGAAGTCGTATGTCAAGTGCTGCTCCTTGCAGTGATATATATATATATATATATATATATATATATATATATACAGTGGGGGAAAAAAGTATTTAGTCAGCCACCAATTGTGCAAGTTCTCCCACTTAAAAAGATGAGAGAGGCCTGTAATTCTCATCATAGGTACACGTCAACTATGACAGACAAATTGAGAAAAAAAAATCCAGAAAATCCCATTGTAGGATTTTTTATGAATTTATTTGCAAATTATGGTGGAAAATAAGTATTTGGTCACCTACAAACAAGCAAGATTTCTGGCTCTCACAGACCTGTAACTTCTTCTTTAAGAGGCTCCTCTGTCCTCCACTCGTTACCTGTATTAATGGCACCTGTTTGAAGTTGTTATCAGTATAAAAGACACCTGTCCACAACCTCAAACAGTCACACTCCAAACTCCACAATGGCCAAGACCAAAGAGCTGTCAAAGGACACCAAAAACAAAATTGTAGACCTGCACCAGGCTGGGAAGACTGAATATGCAATAGGTAAGCAGCTTGGTTTGAAGAAATCAACTGTGGGAGCAATTATTAGGAAATGGAAGACATACAAGACCACTGATAATCTCCCTCGATCTGGGGCTCCACGCAAGATCTCACCCCGTGGGGTCAAAATGATCACAAGAACGGTGAGCAAAAATCCCAGAACCACACGGGAGGACCTAGTGAATGACCTGCAGAGAGCTGGGACCAAAGTAACAAAGCCTACCATCAGTAACACACTACGCCGCCAGGGACTCAAATCCTGCAGTGCGAGACGTGTCCCCCTGCTTAAGCCAGTACATGTCCAGGCCCGTCTGAAGTGCATTTGGATGATCCAGAAGAGGATTGGGAGAATGTCATATGGTCAGATGAAACCAAAATATAACTTTTTGGTAAAAACTCAACTCGTCATGTTTGGAGGACAAAGAATGCTGAGTTGCATCCAAAGAACACCATACCTACTGTGAAGCATGGGGTTGGAAACATCATGCTTTGGGGCTGTTTTTCTGCAAAGGGACCAGGACGACTGATCCGTGTAAAGGAAAGAATGAATGGGGCCATGTATCGTGAGATTTTGAGTGAAACCCTCCTTCCATCAGCAAGGGCATTGAAGATGAAACGTGGCTGGGTCTTTCAGCATGACAATGATCCCAAACACACCGCCCGGGCAACGAAGGAGTGGCTTCGTAAGAAGCATTTCAAGGTCCTGGAGTGGCCTAGCCAGTCTCCAGATCTCAACCCCATAGAAAATCTTTGGAGGGAGTTGAAAGTCTGTGTTGCCCAGTGACAGCCCCAAAACATCACTGCTCTAGAGGAGATCTGCATGGAGGAATGGGCCAAAATACCAGCAACAATGTGTGAAAACCTTGTGAAGACTTACAGAAAACGTTTGACCTGTGTCATTGCCAACAAAGGGTATATAACAAAGTATTGAGAAACTTTTGTTATTGACCAAATACTTATTTTCCACCATCATATGCCAATAAATTCATAAAAAATCCTACAATGTGATTTTCTGGATTTTTTTTTCTCATTTTGTCTGTCATAGTTGACGTGTACCTATGATGAAAATTACAGGCCTCTCTCATATTTTTAAGTGGGAGAACTTGCACAATTGGTGGCTGACTAAATACTTTTTTTCCCCACTGTATATATCATACTTATTACTGCGGGCGCTGCCTTGGGACTCGACTGGGGACTAGGTTTCAAGAGAAGAAGAGTCTAAATAGCAGTGTGTGTGTGTGTGCTCACTATTACATTGGCCTTCCTGGAAGAACTTGTCAGGGAAATAGAAGTCATCTCAGGGATCAATAAAAAGTTAAATATGGTCTGTTAACTCCCTGAAGCTCCCCTACAAGTACACTGCTACTAGCACCCTGTGTTGGCCCCAAAAAGAAAATCACTTTTTTGGGATTGCTAAATTGAATAAGAAAGACTATATATACACCATAGGATTAACCTGGTCTGTAAGAACTAAAGACGAAACCCCTCTGCCACCACTTTCTCCACCATGAGCTTTTCTAAATGTTAGCATAATGTTTGTTCTAGCTCCGGGATGGGCACTTTGGTAGGCCCATGGATCAATTTCCAAAAACTAAACTAAACTCAGTCAGGGTCTCAATTTACTGTTGAGAGTTAGAATTGTTTCAGTTTCAAGTTTTAATGTCACATGCACAAGTACAATGAAATGCCTTTCTTGCAGTGGCGATTTTAGCATGTAAATCTTGTTAGGGCAAAGTCCCCCCCCCCCAACAAGAATTGGGATGCATGCCAGCAAAGCCACAACACAACACAACACAGCACTAAACAATACATTCATTGCACTATAACGGTGACAAACGGTGCCCACAAATTGTTAGGTCTTACATAAAGCTGTCCCAATACAGAGTTTTCTTTTCAGCACCATGGTGTGAATCCTTACAACCGCTACACCTGGCTATCAGCGGCACCTTGTCAAATCACTCATTGTTGAATTTGTGTAATGTTTATGTCCAATGGCCGATGAGCATCGATACGTTTTATCTTTAATTTCTCTTCATATAACAATGATTGAAAAGGATTTGCCAGTAGATTGTCGACTTGATTCATGATGATGACTGCTTGTCTAGCTTGCTAGCTAAGATTTTGAAAGTATGATGTGGACATGATCAGTCCAATCAAAGCAACGGTAGATATAACATGATTTTACATTTTATCTGTGGCCAATGACCTTGAGCCTTCTTGGATTGGCACTTCTGATGTAAATCTATGGTAGCACCCAAAGGGGCTTTAATTTTCAAGCTCTCCCCGTATATTTTGCGGTGACGTAGTGTCCCCATGAGTGACAGAACACTGAGCCAATCACGGTGCAACTAGAGAACATTACCAACCCGTACGCTCCGTATTTTCCTGCTGGCTGCCCCACCACCACAGAAAGCTAGACTGAAACACCTGCATTTTGGAGCTGCCTTACTCAAGAAAGCGGCTTTATTAACTCAATGATATATTTTTTAAAAAATACATTGTTTGCAAACTGATATGTGATACGTGTTAATGATAAAATAACATGCAAAACAAACTTTTTTGCTAAAAAGTTGGTGCTCAAAACAGGTGGGGCTTTGCACCACCTGCCCCAAATGACAGGTCGCCACTGCTTTCTTGCAAGCTCTAACCCCAACAATGCAGTCATCAATAACAATGTACTGTAATACTAAAAATAACAAGGTAGAACAAAACACACGAGATATAAAAATAAGAAGAACACTATAAAGTAAGTAAGCATAGTATATACAGGGTCAGTTCCAGTACCATATTTACAATGTGCAGGGATACTGGATCGATAGAGGTAGATATGTATAGGGGTAAGGTGACTAGGCATCAGGATATATGATAAACAGAGTAGCAGCAGCGTATATGATGATTCTATGTGAGTGGATGTGTGTATAGTCAGTATAAATGTATGTGCATTTTATGTGTGTAATCATGGTCGAATTACGACCGGGGGCCCCATTGATTTTATTAGTCACTTTCACTCAGATATCATATTAAAAACTGCTAACATTTCTCTTCATCCTATGGCAAAATGTGTAGAATTGTAGGAAATTAGCTGTGAAACTGCACATTTTTCTCTCCACCCCATGGCAAAATGAGTAAAATGTTGCAAATTAGTTATGTAAAATTACAAAATCATCTCTCTGCCCCATGGCAAAATGTGTAGAATTGCAGCCAACTTGCTTTAAAACTGCAACATTTTCTCTACGCCGCATGGCAAAATGTAGAATAGAATTGCATGAAATTAACTCTAAAACAAAACTGAAGCATGCTGACGCTTTAACGCGCTCGCACACACACACACCAGTGCCACGCTAGCACCTCCTGGGTTGTCTTTTATATTGCATGTTATTTTTCTTTGTGTTTTATTGCAGGAAGACAACATGGCCTTTGGGAGACCAACAAAGTAAGTAAATGAAATGTTCTGGGGTGTGTTTATTCTTATACCGATGACTGAAATATTTATTGTCCTCTTCAAGGTAAAATCAGTAGAGGGATATTAAAACCTCAGCATCTTTTCTCAACATACAGTGGGGTCCTAAATGATTGACACCCTTGATAAAGATGAGCAATAATGACTGTATAAAATAAAGAATTCTGTGAAATTCTACTATTTTATGCTTGTACAATTGCTCAGAGAAAGAGATTTTGTTTAACAAGTTTAAAAAAAATTCTCATAAAGGTAGGGGTTAATCCTGAATTAATCGTGAATAATGATGAGTGAGCAAGTTACAGAGGGTCAAAGATCACACACCCCAAAACATGTTATTGGTAATGGTGAGAGGTTAGCATGTCTTGGGGTTATGATCTTTGACCCTCTATAACTTGCTCACTCATCATCGTTATTCATGATTCATTCAGGACATCATTCATTCTAAACTTTTTACTACTTTATTTATAAGAATCTTTAGGGGTGTCAATCATTTTGACCCCTACCTTTTTTTGTGTGAAAAAAATGTATTACTTGTTAAACAACATTTATTTCTCTGAGCAATTGTATTGGTACAAAATAATATAAATTTAAAAAAATTTGAGCATACAATGTACATTTGTATTTTAATTATTTATTTTATACAGTCATTATTGCTCGTCTTTATCAAGGGTGTGAATAATTTCGGACCCCACTGTATCTTGAATTAAAGCACTTGTGCATTATTTATTATTTAAATTCAATTCTGGGAGAGAATATTGGTGCAGAGCAGTTAGCTTGGTCCCAGATCTATTTGTGCTGTATACCCAACTCAAGACAGCACAAACCGATCTGGGACCAACCAGGCTACAGAGTAGTAGTTGCTTTAGTTTCTGATAGATTCTCTGTGTATTTGAAGGTACTGGATGCTGGACGTAGCCAAGGTGTATGCTAGTGGCTCCAACGCCTGGGACACAGCAGTGCAAGACGCCTCAGAGGAGTATAAAAACAGAATGGTAAGGAATTGTGGGCGGAAGGTTCCAACTGGCAGGTCATCGGTTTGAATCCAAATTCTGACCGGGGGGTTCAATTGGGATTCTAGGTACACTACATGACCAAAGGCATGTGGACACCTGCTTGCTGAACATCTCATTCCAAAATCATGGGCATTAATATGGAGGTGGACCCCCCTTTGCTGCTATAACAGCCTCCACTCTTCTGGGAAGGCTTTCCACTAGATGTTGGAACATTGCTGCACTGTGTGCTCGATTTTAAACACCTGTCAGCAGCGGGTGTGGTTGAAGTAGCCAAATCAACTAATTTGAAGGGTTGTCCACATACTTTTGTATATATAGTGTACCATAGATGCTATCTCTTGCCGTTGTGCCTTTGAGCAAGGTACTGAACCCCTAAACCAGGGGTGTCAAACGTCCGGCCCGCGGGCCGGATCAGGCCCGCAAACGGGTTTAATCCGGCCCGCGAGATGATAAAATAAAAATAAAAATAAATAAATAATAATAATTTTGTAAAGTATAAAAATGCGCTGCAATTTTTCAATAAAATAAACTGCTGTTCCAATTGCGTCCACTGGATGGCGCAATAGCAATTGTGTTAAGCAAGCAAACTGTTTATACCGGGGCAGAGCAAGTAGGTCAAGCACGTGCAGCCAATGAGCTACTTTGTTTTGCCCGCGATATTTATTACGGCTTCTACTTTTAACATTATGTGCTTTGGCACCCTCATTGCCCCAATATGTCTCTGTCAAAAAATAGAAAAGTGGACGCAGAGTGCAGAGTGTTCCAAGAAAAATTGTCATCCTATTTATTCACTGAATTGAATGGGAAAGCTGTATGTTTGGTGTGTTCAGAGCATGTTGCAGTGCTGAAAGAATATAACCTTCGTCGCCACTATGTGAGTCTTCATGCCGACAAATATGACAACTTTCAAGGACAGCTGAGATGAGAGAAGGTGAATGAACTGTTGGCGGGTCTGAAGAAACAGCAGTCTGTGTTTACTCACAGCCGAGACATCAGTGACGCTGCAGTGAAAGCTAGCTACCTCATTGCTAATGAAATCGCAGTGGCTTCAAAACCATTTAGTGAGGATGAATTTGTAAAAACATGCATGATGAAGGCAGCGGAGATTGTGTGCCCTGAAAAGCGGCAGGCTTTTGCAAATATCAGCCTGACAAGAAACACAGTTGCAGACAGGATTTCCGATCTTTCAGTGGATTTGGACAGCCAGTTGAAGCAAAAAGTAAAGTCATTTATTGCGTTTTCGGTTGCAATTGATGAAAGCACGGACATTACAGATGTTGCACAACTGGCCATTTTCATCCGCGGAGTTGATGACACATTGACCGTCACCGAGGAGTTCGTGGAGTTGGTGCCGATGACAGATACAACGACAGCTGCTGATATTTTTACCGCAGTCGTCGGCGTGCTGGACAGGGTCGGAGTGGACTGGTCCCGCGCTGTCAGCCTGGCTACAGATGGTGCGCCCTCAATGATCGGGAAAAAAGCAGGCGTTGTGACAAAGTTCAGAGAGAAAGTGCAATCTGCAAATGGAGGACGTGATTTTTTGACTTTTCACTGTATTTTGCACCAGGAGGCTTTGTGTTGCAAGTCATTAAAGATGGATAACGTCATGAAGGTGGTCATCCAAACTGTTAATTTCATCCGATCCAGAAGCCTGAATCACCGTCAGTTTGACAGCCTTCTCAGAGAGAAAGACCACATCTATGGCCTGCCATACCACACTGAGGTAAGATGGTTAAGCCGAAGTGCTGTGCTGAGGCGTTTCTTTGATTTACGAGAAGAAATTGAACAGTTCATGGAAGAAAAGGGCAAACCAGTGTTAGAATTTCATTCCGCAGAATGGATGCAGGACCTTGCATTTATGTTGGATGTTACAGAGCACCTGAATAACTTGAACAAACAGCTGCAAGGGCGCAACAAAGTTGTCACGCAGTATTATGACAGCATACGTTCTTTCAAGTTGAAGCTGTCATTGTGGGAGACGCAACTTGCCGGTGGTGATGCAGCTCACTTCCCCTGTCTGAAAAATGTGTGCGCGACCCAACATGTGGCAGACATGAAGCGGTTCAAAGATAAAATAACGGGACTGTTACGGGAGTTTGAGCAACGCTTTCAGATTTATGTTTATATGTTTTTATGTTGATGTGCTATTGTTTTTAATTGATTTTATTTTATTTGTATATTTAACCTATTCTTGACTCTGTGGTTCTTGCACTTGTTTGGGGAACAGGATTTCATTATTTTTATCTACATTTCTGCCTGAGAAATGACACCCTGATATAGTTCTGTGATCTGTGATATACTTCTGTGAATCACTGAGGCATTGTGTGTTCTTTGTCCTCAGAACTTTCAAATAACTTGAGGTGTTTTATGATTAATAGTGATGTTGTGCTATTGGACACTGTCCTCAGGCTCCAGCTTTATGTTTATATGTTTTTATGTTGATGTGCTTAATAGTGATGTTGTGCTTGTACTATTTTGGACACACTGTCCTCAGGCTCCAGCTTTATGTTGTATGTTGATCGTATTAAAACAAAGAAAACAATCTGAAGTTGTTGTTTTTAAGTTATATATACCATGATTTTTCCGGTCCGGCCCACTTGGGAATAGATTTTCCTCCATGTGGCCCCTGAGCTAAAATGAGTTTGACACCCCTGCCCTAAACTGTTACAAGGGTGCTGCACCATACAAACGTTGATTGTACCTCTCTCTCCTTAGCACAACCTCTGCTGTGACAACTGTCACTCCCATGTGGCCATGGCTCTAAACCTGATGCGCTACGAGAACAAGACCTCGTGGAACATGATCAACCTCTGTCTGCTCTCCCTAGTCCACGGAAAACACGTCAGGTACTGAAATACTGACTGTCTGTCTCTCTTTCGGGCTGCTCTCCTTCAGCTATGACAACCATGTCAGGTACTGAGATAAAGCTGCAGAAATGGTTAAGGTCAAAAGAAACTCCTCCAGACTGCATTTGCATTGATGTTGTTAAGATTCACCACACTGTGACAACTTTTTTAGAGGCAGAACTGTATCTTACTTATGCTCCACAAGGCCATGTGAGGTAGGGCTGGATATTGCATGTGTGTACGCTCTGTACTCTCTGGGTCCCAGGGGCTGATATATATGTCATTGAATTTCCTCTGAATACAGAGAATCCTGGAGCACTCTGAGGGACAGACAGACAGACAGACAGAGGGCCTCCTGATGATTCTGTGGAGATATTAGGATTGAGTCTGATGTTGTGGTTGAAGGAATGTGACAGCTCGTCCCCATGCCCCCTCATGTGAGAGTGGTAGCGGGCAGGAGTCTCCCCACTAGCATACTACCTAGAGTGAACCCATGTATGCACGCAATCTGAGTGGTACTTATCCTAGTATGGACATTGGAGCGTAGCTATGTGAGTGGGTTGGTTGTTTGGACAGACACGTCACATGACCCTGGCCTGGCTGGATCTTAAGAGGTTGTCATGGCAACCACTTGAGCCTCTGTGTAATTGACTACGTGCGTGCAATCTCAGGTGTGTGCTGTCAAGACTATGGGGGAAATTAGGTGAAGAATTTGATTTTCATTCAGTCACTCCTCAGACCTCATATGGATGCTTACGTCTTGTGTTATTGTTGTTGTTCCAGAAAGCCAATGCCTCTCTCTCGCGCTCTCCCTCCTGCTCTCTCTGCTCCCCATCTGTATCGCTCACTCTCTTTACCCTCCCCCCTCTTTCTCTCTCTCTCTCCGTCCCCCTCTCTGTCCATCTCCCCTCTCTCTTCCCCTCCATCTCTGTCTCCCCTTTCCAGCTGTGCAGGGTTCCTGAAGACCTGGCTTCCCTTCCTCATGTTGATGGGTATCATCCTGACTGTGGCTCTGATAATTAACCTGCAATGACCAGCCAACCAGGTGGGAGGACACAGTTTACAGGGTTGCCAGGGGGCCCAGAGCAGAGGGGGAAGGGGGATGGACTCCCTGCAGGAGGGGGGGGGGGGGGGGGGCAAACAGGGAGGGAGTAAGGGAGGGAATGGGAACCCCCTGCAGGTTGGAAGTGACTGTTGAGGTGGGAGGTGTCACACTACACCTACTCTACTCTGATTGTGAGGACAGAGAGGAAAAAAGACATGCAACTGTGACACCCCAGCAACAAACCAACCAATGAGAGGAGAATGAAGGCCAAAACATCCTTCACTCAACTAAACACAAAGCCTGTTTGTTTCTAGGACCAGACAACCTGGCTTTCACTGGTGGCGTGCCCCTACTGAAGGAATACATTTGGATGGCAATTTTTGTTTCTTGTTTATTTTGGGGTTGAGAGTAATTGTTCTTGATGGACGGTAGCTTACTTATAAATGTTTTAATGCCCCCCACAAACATCCCAACTCCATGAATTTTTATGCAATTTTCAAATGTTTTGATTTTCAATGAAGGCCTACTATGGGGGTATAGACCAAGTAACCATCCATTACCTAGGAATGTGGAGGATGAGGATGTTGCCGGTTCTGTAGACTAGAGGAGCGATGGTAGCGGTGAAGGGGGCAGGGGTTGTTCTTTCTTTCAGGGGTAGTAGTCTTGTCTCCCACAGTGACAGCAGCATCCATGCCTTTCTCTCTCAGCCATGCTGAAACAAACACCCACCATCCATCTAATGGCATGGGACTATGATGATGATCCACTGACTCAGTACTTCCCATACTTCATCTAGATGTTTGGAACAGAAAACATTATATTTCACTTTAATGCCTTTCAAGGAATGTATTATTGCATTGGCATTTTACGCTTGGTTTGATACAGTTCCTATTAATGCAACTTTTAATAACCTGTGATTCACCAAGAGTGGTTTGTTGTTTCAATTAATTGTATCTATTTACTACATTGGACTGTATCCAGGATAATAACGCTCAAAACTCTGCTATAAGCAAGTGATGCCTCATATCTTGTGTGATATCTGAGTGTAATTTAACTGCTTCTATCTGCATCCTATTCAAATATTTGTATTTTTCTTAGAACTCTATTGATATTTGTATGTTTAGACCCATTTTAATGGTGGCTTTTTTCAAAACGGGATTATAGATTACAGATGATAGATTTCAGATAATCTCATTAAGTGTGTTGGATTATTTGGATACTTCCTACAGTGGCCATGGTAACCTCTGTGGAACCCTGGACTCATAACTCTGGACTCCACCTGCAGATGGGAATGGAATGCATGATGTTCTGGAATGCTGCAGAGTTCATTTGTGTTCTGTGTTCTAGGACATGAGCGTGCCAAATGTAGACTCTCCCGGTCCCTACAGGAGAGGGATCACCGCTTTCTGATCCTTTCCACACTCAAACTCCAACCTCAAAATGTGCCCTAGAAGAAAGAAGTACCTCTGAATCCTAGCTCTGCCTGGGTTATTGAAAAAATGAAATGAATTCATATAGTTCATTCCTGAAAAACAATGGTCTTCTATCATGGGTCTTCGTGGATAACGTGCATGTACATGAATGGCTCAATTTATATCAAACTACATTTTTAGACCATACCATCTATATTGATTTTGTATGTAGTAGCCTACTTTCAAACACTGGCTAATCCTAGATGATGGTTGGCACACAAAATCCATTGCCATGGCTTCCTTCTGCGGTGGCAGGTTCAAATCCCCTCATTGTTTGGGGTGAAACCACAAAGCGCTGAGCCTTGAGCCTTCTCTCTTTAGCCATGGAGCTGCCAGAAGCAGCAGGTAGCCTGCTGGCTCCTCCAGGTTGAACACACACATACCCTTGTCGCACTACCGAGCTGGACTGAACCGATGTACTGAGCTGGCCTGGTTACACCTCCAGCATAATGTGTAACCGTGCTGAAAATAAAAACGTCTGAGCCAGCACAGCTTGGTTCGGGTTGGCACGGCAGTGTGAAAAGCATAGAAGTCTTTGGCTTAATATCCTGGAGTCTCCTCTCCTCATGTGCCAGAGAAAGTGCCATTCCTGCTGTCTCAGATGAGATTAGAAGGACATTGTGAAATGTCAATGCATCTCCATGCAGCCCTTTTCACATTCCTGCTTCTTTCTCTCTTGTTGGACTTCATTCTTTGAAATTCCAGCAAATGTGATCGATGTTGATCTACTACTGCAATAACCCCAAATTGTATGTACAAAAAAATGATATATTTGTATAGGAGGTTTTTAAAGATCCTTCTTTGTTTTCCATGACATTCACAGTCAAGGCAGTTTTACTCTACTTCTGTAGCTGTTGGCGATTTTATGCCAAGATGCCAATTCTTTCCAGGGTTTTTACATTCCTTTGGTGTATCTATGCCTAGAGGTACTATGGCTTCTTTCTCATCTTTCTTTTCCTTTCATGTTCATGTGTAAATATTAGACCAAGTGAAATTGTCTTAAGTAAGATTGTATAATCTCAAATATTTAATTTCCTGTTTTAATTTATATTGTAAATGAACTAACTATCCTCCTTAATTCTCTTTATTTTTCTACATGCAATACCATAGGATACAATATTATATCAAAGCTCATCACTGTTCTGCAATTAAGCAAATTTGTGCCTGAATGCATGAGTGAGTGTGTATGTCAATGGAAGCGGTGGGTGTGTGGATGCATGAGGGGCGGTTGTGCATGTGCTGGCTGCATGTCTTTGTGGACATAAAACTATTTTCTTGAATCCTGTGGCGTTTTGGGGAATTGCTGATAACTGCATATCATAGCAGATGACTGCCAATAACAATACATTTATATCCACTTATTACCACAAATGGTTTTCTAAAATGATGTAAATTGTCCATGATTGTATGTATGGTATAGGTACAGTATATAATACACTAGACTGTAATAGACCTTTAAATGATCCACAGTTGACCCAGTTTCCCAGTCTTGATATGAATTGTCTACACTCTTAGAAAAAAATTGTTCCAAAAGGGTTCTTCAGCTGTCCCCATAGGAGAACCCTTTTTGGTTCCAGGGAGAACCCTCTGTGGAAAGGGACCTACATGGAACTCAAAGGGGTTCTACCTGGGACATTTTACATTTACATTTTACCAACAGGATTCTACCTGGAACCAAAAAGGGTTCTTCAAAGGGTTATCTTATGGGGACAGCTGAAGAACACTTTTAGGTTCTACAGTAGATAGCTATTTTTTTCTATGAGTGTAGGAGGTGCCATATAATAGAAAGGTAGATTAAAACTAAACAGCAGAAGGTGACTGATATTGTCGGTGAGTGATGAGCATCATCTGAGATGCAGGAGAATAGCTCTGCTTAATGTGAACAAACAGTGGGGCTTGTAGTTAAAGATGCACTCTCAAACTTTTGTATAATTTTAGCCAGTCGTTTTGAAAATGGTGCTCAAGAGCCAAAAGTGGCCCAGTTTTTTTGTGCACTACGTCATCAAGTTGTGTACTACATCATCCATTTTGTACGATATGTTACGTCCTTTAAAAAAAACTTAACATATACGAAATGGATGACGTCATATGATACAAATTCAATTTGTACTATATGTTATTCATTTGTTGTGCTTAAGATCCTGGAGTGCATCTTTAAGTGGAATTGATTTAATTCTGGAAGATGGGCTCTATCTAGCCTGGTCCCAGATCTATTTGTGCTGGCATGCCATTGGCCATAGTAGTTGTCTATCCAGAACAGACAGATCTGGGACCAGGCTAGGTGGCCTTTTTGGGGGGTATTAGCATCCTTGGACAATGTCTATGATAGATTATCATTCTCATAACTCTAGAGGTTGACTGAAGCACTGGTCTTTTTTAAATTTAGAAGCAAGATTGGATATAAATTGTGGCCTTGATTCCATTCGGAAACCTTGCTCCTTTCCTTTAACGGAAAACAGAGGAGACGAATGCATGTTTTTGTGTGCAATGGAACCCCTCCTATTTTAAGTTCACTGTTTTGTTTTCAAATTCTTTTCTGTTCAAGAATCTATTCTAGAATCAGTAACACTCTTCAGAGGAGTTGAATTCATATTAGATGTTCTTTCCCCCTGGTTGTAACCAGGAGCTGGGTGGTGGAATATGGATGGACACTTGTGGTTTCACACATTGTCTGCTAACAAAAGACAGTTGTGATGCTATTATGACTGAAGGCCAATAATCATATAAAGTTTTAAACTTTACACCAATATCCTTCTTTTGTTATTTTAATCCCTTGAAATGTCACTATGCTGCGGAATATTAGGAGTTCCGTTTTCCCATGAACTAATCTGTAAGTGACTGAGTGAACTATGAATGTATTTAAATGACATGTAACTATGATACCAATAAAGACATGTATTATTGTAAACTATTTGTTGTGAAGCATTTCTGAAGAAATAGTGCATACATTAGGCTACTATTAGATCACATCATATTACTTATGTCTACTCATACAGCATAGGCGTATTACTACATGTGCTCAAAATTATAGTTAGCCCAACTTGTGTCAAGGAGAAAAGGCTAATTGCAAAAATAAACGCTCAATTTCAACCATTGGTAGCATCTTTCAGAGTTAACACTTGGCTATCAAAAGAACAACCTCGGATTCAATTGCCATTTGTCATCATTCTGCAAACACCCTCGATGCTCTTTCTCTCTTTTTCTGTAGAGAGCATTGTGGGAGGAGGAGTGGGCAGACATTAGAGGCTCCGCTCCCCCTCCCTCTAAAAAGCATTGTTGATCTAATATCACAGAGTGAGAGAGGAGGGCATGTCTACCTGACACCGTTCTATCTGCATTTTCTGTAGCACAGCTTTTGATCTACAAATTATTGAATGTGCATCCATCTTTATTGATTTGGATACATTAACTTTTCGCTTGTGGAATATAAAAAAGTTATACACATAGCCTGTGTTCTTCATTGTTATAATGTCAATGACTTTGGCGAGTATTGAGATGTATTCAACTTGATGGCTCAAAATATATAATTAATTAAGAATTTTAACTTTTAAACGTTGTTGATGTGGACCCCATGAGTGCTTATTCAATCCCCCACAATAGTTCAAATCAAGTGTCATGCCACAAGGATCTGGGAATGTGTCAGTTCTTCATCATCTTAGTATATATGCCTAATTCTGGCCATTTTGAGCTTCCAGTTATTATAACATAGGGGTAGAATCTTTAGCCTACCTGTCTATCGAATAGCGTGAAGATAATGACTTATTTAATAATTATTCGATAATAACCTAATATTAGGATTGTGTGAGCTATAGCCTAATAAACTAATCATTTGAAGTCATAGGTTGCAAAAATAGCTCCATGTTTGAAATCTAAGAAGACACTGAACCAACTAGCTTGATAGTAAGCGACACTGTGTGCTAGCTAGCTTGATAGTAAGCGACACCGTGTCCTAGCTAGCTTGATAGTAAGCGACACCGTGTGCTAGCTAGCTTGATAGTTAGCGAGTCCTCCTTAGGACAAGCTGGCTAAGCTAGCACACAGTGTCCTTCGCTCCCGCCTGCCGAACACCTGCCCTCGGCATTGTTAACAGAACTGCAGGAAAACAGTGACCATCAGGTGGGGTTGAAGGACACTGTCTACTGGGGCTAGCTAGCTACTGTTGTCACCCCCACCCCTTCTTCTGTGGGGTTTTATCATGGCTGGCATCCAACATGATTGTGCATTAATGAATTAAAGACACCTACATAGCCACAGGAAGTAGGGGTGCTGAGGGTGCTGAAGCACCCCCTGATAAATCACAATTTAAAAATAATTAATATAACTATATGTATTTTTTGAATGTTTTTATTTCCCCACCAAATTAGTGCACTAGGCCTGTATTACTCCTGTATGAGTGGAGGGGAATGCCCATATGCAGGAACGCCCCAGAATTGTGGGCAGCAATTGCACCTTCTTGTTAAAGTGGGATGGCAGAAAGGCCCCCCCCTCCTCCGCACACTCCACTGGCTTCCAGTTGAAGCTCGCATCCGTTACAAGACCATGGTGCTTGCCTATGGAGCAGTGAGGGGAACGGCACCTCTGTACCTTCGGGCTCTGATCAGTCCCTACACCCAAACGAGGGCATTGCGTTCATCCACCTCTGGCCTGCTGGCTCCCCTTCCTCTGCGGAAGCATAGTTCCCGCTCAGCCCAGTCAAAACTGTTCGCTGCTCTGGCACCCCAATGGTGGAACAAGCTCCCTCACGACGCCAGGACAGCGGAGTCACTCACCACCTTCCGGAGACATTTGAAACCCCACCTCTTTAAGGAATACCTGGGATAGGATAAAGTAATCCTTCTACCCCCCCCCCCCCCCCCCCCCAGTGGTTATCCCACTGGCTATAGGGTGAATGCACCAATTTGTGAGTCGCTCTGGATAAGAGCGTCTGCTAAATGACGTAAATGTGCCCTTGAGCAAGGCACTTAACCCTAATTGCTCCTGTAAGTCGCTCTGGATAAGAGCGTCTGCTAAATGACTAAAATGTAAATGTAAATGTAAGGTGCGTGGAAAGCTGGAAAGCCCCTCCTGGCTTATTGTAGCCGACGACCCGATGGTGCTTTAATTTCATTGTTTGAGAGCAGCTTCGACCCGCTTGCATCCGCAGGGATCAAACAGCCCCGTCATAGAAATCAGACACTGCCTCTCAGTCACACGTGGGCTTCAGAAATGCTAAGAAGTTGAACATCCAGCCAGGACTTGTAATACAGAACAGAACGGGTCAAGGAGATGCTGAGGACAATCTGACCAGTGTACGACAGGACTCTCTCTCCACGTTTCACTCTCATCGGCAGTAGGATGCATATATTTCTATATAGCTAGTGTGCGCAGTCAATGCTCTGTAGCCTAAAGCATATGCATAACTTTTGTTGCGCTTAGAAAAGAAAGCAAGAGGGGCGAGTTTGTTCTTCGTTTGAAATGGCAATCAAGTCAATTTCCGTGAGTGTCGCTCTGTCGCTCTGTAAAGGAGAGTTTTTGTTTTGAATGTATAAAAACTATATCACTGTTCTGGTATCGCATAGCATATTTGTTTTTTAAAATGCCGGATTTGGCTCTACAGATGGTTTTCTGTGTGCTGCTCTGTTCGATCTCCGGGCGCGCATCCGCGTGCCCTCTTCGTTGCGAATGCTCAGAAGCCGCGCACACAGTCAAGTGTGTTTCCAAGTACTTGCGGAGTGTCCCGTCCGGGATACCAGGGTACACGAGGAATCTGTTTATAACGGGAAATCAGATCAGCAGAATTGGACCGGAATCGTTCAAAGGGCTGGACAATTTAACGACACTGTCACTGAGTAACAACAGGTAAGAGAAACATTGCCAAACGAAAAAAAAAAAAAATTGTAGTTTAGACTACTTTTAGTAGACCCAAGTTTATATTTTCCTCATGATTTGAAATATCAATGTATTATTATAGCAAACACGTCATAGAGTTTGTCTATATATTTTTTCTCACACTTTTGAATGCCTCTTAGCATGAAACATTTGATGAGTAGTGTCCTGTTGTGTTGGGTAATCTTGAATCAACCATGTGATTACTATTGTGTTATTCCTGTAATTATAGACCATGAGTGACTATACATCCTCTGCTCCCACTTTCCCTCCCTCCTTGCAGGATAACAGAGGTAGAGTCTCAGACGTTCTCCGGGCTGCGTTCCCTCCGTTCTCTGGACCTGAGCTCCAACCAGCTGGCTGTCATCAACCCAGAGGCCTTCACTGTCCCGGGCCACACCCTCAGGGAGCTCAACCTCAGCCGAGCACTCTACAACCACTCCTCTGTCATGGACCTGGCTACGTCTCTTTGCTGGTCCACACTGGGGGAGCTCCGGACCCTGGACCTGTCAGGGAACAGGCTGATCTACCTGCCCTCTCACGCCTTCTCCTACCTGGGTGGCCTGCGGAGGCTCATCCTGGCCAACAACTCCCTGGCGGCCCTCCACAACAGCACCTTATCTGGGCTGGACTCTCTGGAGCAGCTGGATCTGACCCTCAACGCTCTGTGGACCATCCAGGAGGAGGGCCTGGCTGAGCTGGACTCGCTGCCTACCGGGGCGAGTCTCCTTCTAGGGGAGAACCCCTGGACCTGTATCTGTGGCATGGAGCCCTTCGCTGCCTGGCTCAACTCCTCCCACGGACATGTGGGGGACGCAGAGGGCCTGGTGTGTGCCTTCCCCCCAGACATGAGGAACATCTCTCTGCTGAGGCTGGCGGCTGGGGTGGCTGGACAGGCTGGCGTGGGCGGGGACAGGGTGGCGCTAGGGTGCCACAGGGTGAATGAGGGGGCGGACCTGGCCCTCCAGACTTCCTACGTGTTCCTGGGGATCGTCTTGGGCTTCGTGGGACTCGTCTTCCTCTTGGTCCTCTACCTCAACCGGCAGGGCATCAAGAAGAGGATCAATGACATGCGGGAAGCGTGCACGGAGGTGTTGGAGGGATACCGCTACGAGCTCGACTCCGACCCCAGGCTCTCACAGGTCTCCACCACGGCAGACATTTGATGATATCAGGACACTCAAGGGGCATCCATGATCCTTCTTTCATAATTGAAAACATTGGACTTTCTTTCTATTGCATTTATAAGTAGAGAAGATCATGTAAACACTGTACATAACAGTAAGTATATAACTGAGCATTGTTATTGTTTTCCCAGTAGCTATGTCCATGATTAAAGCATTCACTGTCTGTCTGATCTGTAGTCCTTCGCAACCAGTCCTCCCTTTTAGTCCGCACATTGTCTGAGACTAGGGATTACCCCTGGCTAACAAATAAATGGGCATGGACTGTGAAAGAGAACTGTTATACTGACTGACTGTTCTTCTACAATGATTTTCCCCTCTTAAAAGAGGTGCTTCTTTGTCTGTCCTAGAGTGAAGTATCACGTGAAGGAGTGAAACGACAATTGGACAATATCATTTATGTATGTTTTGAATCTTGGAACTGAGAAAAGATATGGATGAATATACTTACAGTGACTTGCGAAAGTATTCACCCCCCTTGGCATTTTTCCTATTTTGTTGCCTTACAACCTGGAAATAAAATAGATTTTGGGGGGGTTTGTACCATTTGATTTACACAACATGCCTACCACTTTGAAGATGCAAAATATTTTTTTGGGTGAAACAAACAAGAAATAAGACAGAAAAAAAGAACTTGTGCGTGCATAACTATTCATCCCCCCCCACAAAGTCAATACTTTGTAGAGCCACCTTTTGCAGCAATTACAGCTGCAAGTCTCTTGGAGTATGTCTCTATAAGCTTGGCACATCTAGCCACTGGGATTTTTGCCCATTCTTCAAGGCAAAACTCCTCCAGCTCCTTCAAGTTGGATGGGTTCCGCTGGTGTACAATCTTTAAGTCAAAGATTCTCAATTGGATTGAGGTCTGGGCTTTGACTAGGTCATTCCAAGACATTTAAATGTTTCCCCTTAAACCACTCGAGTGTTGCTTTAGCAGTATGCTTAGGGTCATTGTCCTGCTGGAAGGTGAACCTCCGTCCCAGTCTCAATTCTATGGAAGACTGAAACAGGTTTCCTTCAAGAATTTCCCTGTATTTAGCTCCATCCGTCATTCCTTCAATTCTGACCAGTTTCCCAGTCCCTGCCGATGCCGATGAAAAACATCCCCACAGCATGATGCTGCCACCACCATGCTTTACTGTGGGGATGGTGTTCTCGAGGTGATGAGAGGTGATGAGAGGTGTTGGGTTTGCGCCAGACATAGCGTTTTCCTTGATGGCCAAAAAGCTCAATTTTGTCTCATCTGACCAGAGTACCTTCTTCCATATGTTTGGGGAGTCTCCCACATGCCTCTTGGTGAAGACCAAACGTGTTTGCTTATTTTTTTCTTTAAGCAGTGGCTTTTTTCTGGCCACTCTTCTGTAAAGCCCAGCTCTGTGGAGTATACGGCTTAAAGTGGTCCTATGGACAGATACTCCAATCTCCGCTGTGGAGCTTTGCAGCTCCTTCAGGGTTATATTTGGTCTCTTTGTTGCCTCTCTGATTAATGCCCTCCTTGCCTGGTCTGTGAGTTTTGGTGGGCGGCCCTCTCTTGGCAGGTTTGTTGTGGTGCCATATTCTTTCCATTTTTTAATAATGGATTTAATGGTGCTCCGTGGGATGTTCAATGTTTCTGATATTTTTTTATAACCCAACCCTGATCTGTACTTCTCCACAACTTTGTCCCTGGCCTGTTTGGAGAGCTCCTTGGTCTTCATGGTGCCGCTTGCTTGGTGGTGCCCCTTGCTTAGTGGTGTTGCAGACTCTGGGGCCTTTCAGAACAGGTGTATATATACTGAGATCATGTGACACTTAGATTGCACACAGATGGACTTAACTAATTATGTGACTTTTGAAGGTAATTGGTTGCACCAGATCTTATTTAGGGGCTTCATAGCAAAGGGGGTGAATACATATGCACGCACCACTTTTCCGTTATTTAATTTTTTTGAAATAAGTTATTTTTTTCATTTCACTTCACCAATTTGGACTATTTTGTGTATGTCCATTACATGAAATCCAAATAAAAATCAATTTAAATTACAGGTTGTAATGCAACAAAATAGGAAAAACGCTAAGGGGGTTGAATACTTTTGCAAGGCACTGTAATTCATTAAGCTGAAGTAATAAAACGGAAGACTGTTCTTATACATCACACTTTACTTTAATATTGTTATTTGAGGAGAGATATTGTAAATGTATATACTATCTCTACCAAGCTCACGTAACGGCAAATTAATCAGCTCATAAAATGCAGGTTGTGTGACATCAACCCCTGTGAAACTTAGGCACAATGGCTGTGTCTGAAATTGCACCATATTTCCTGTATGGGCCCTGGTCAAAAGTAGTGCACTTATAAAGGGAATATGGTGCCATTGGGACGCAGGCAATCTCTCATTGAGCTCTGAGGGCCAGCTCACCCCAGGACTGAGGAGCAGTTCTTTGGTATTCTGTCCCTCTGCCCCAGGGTGCCTGAATGGAATCCCAGCAGATTAGTCTCCATAGCATTCCAAAGGGAGGAGAACCTCTCCTCTTTCCTAAAATCAACTCTCTCTCTCTCCCTCTCTTTCTCTCTCCACAGAGATGAGATGAGGGGAAAAAGGAGGACTGTTCATTCAGTTCACACTGCACAGCCACAGTCATCCAGCAATGAAAATATCCAGACCCTCTTTCATGAAAATTTGCTTTGTTTTAAGTTCTCTAGTTTTATTGTCAAGATGATGAGAACCAGGACGAGCCTGGGGCTATAGGGCTGGACCTGGAGCTGAGGATGGAGCTATATGGCTGAGGCTGGGGCTGAAGCAGAGGCTGGGGGTGCATGGGGCTGAGCCAAAAGCCATCCCTCCTCCTCGAAGACAACAGCCATTCTCTTTAAAGGAAGGAAAGCCTGTGTGGAGCTACAGCTTTTTCTGTTTAGGGGACTTTTCAGTGATAAGATACAGATGAGTCTGGAATGCCAGCAGCAGAGCAGGCAGCAGCAGTTTCATTCAGTGGCTGAGGCCTGCTCTGCTCTTATTAACCAGTGCAGTTAAGGAACTGTTGTTGCCTTCCTTCTTACAACAGAAATATACTTAAGCAATAAGGCCAGAGGAGGTGTGGTATATGGCCAATATACTACTGCTAAGGGCTGTTCTTACGCACGACGCAACGTTGAGTGCCTAGACACAGCCCTTAACCGTGGTATATTGGCCATATATCACAAACCCCCGAGGAGCCTTATTGCTATTATAAACTGGTTACCAACGTAATTAGAGCAGTAAAACTAAATGTTTTGTCATACTTGTGGTATACGGTCTGATATACAATGGCTTTCAGCCAATCAGAATTCAGGGCTCAAACCACCCAGTTTATAATATTTCTTATACACTTCAATTATATGTAATTCCTCTACTGTAAGCAGTGTTTATTTCCAATTTGTGAAGTGATAGTTGACCTAAATGGGATGTGTTGGGCGTACATATGAAGGGGGTTCTCTTTGAGATGTGCTCTTTGTCATGATCTGTGATGTTTCTGTCATGATGTCTAACGTCACAGTGAGAAAGCTCCACTTGGTAATTGGTACCAGGTTAATGTTTAGTCTGGTGTGTGAAAACTAGAGAGGGAGAACAAAGCAACAATGAACACATTTCTTATTTATATCTCCATTTTAAGTTTTCATTTTGATTGCATTTTTTTTTAGTTAAATAGAAAGTATAGACATTGTGTAGAATCCTTTTAACCAATCTTGAAATTCTAAAAGCATATTTGAATGAGGTTTTCCTTTTTATATATATACTTGAATAAATTCCTATGTGTCAGCTTGGTTTTGCGGTGGTTTGCTGGTGGTAGAGAGAATAGAACAAAATACAATGGCTTGGTCTGAAATGCATCCTATTCTCCATAGCCCTGGTCAAATGTAGTGCACTATGTAGGGATTAGGGTACCATTTCTAACAGACACAATAACTTCATAAAACAGGAAGGTGCTCTACTCTGGTGTGGTTGAATTGAACAGAGTTTCACTCTCATTACTCTCTGACTCAACCGGCCCTCATCTCAGTATTGTTCCTCATTATCCTCCTGCACAAAAGCTGACTCAATCCCTATGTGGCCGTCGTGATGTAGGACGTGTCACAGAGAAAGACCTAACTATGAGCAAAGCTCCACTACTAATTGCAATGTTCTACTGGCCATGGCCAAACAGATGCAGGGAGTGCTGCGAGAGAGAGAGAGAGAGAGAGAGATAGGAAGAGAGATGGCGAGAGAGGGGGAGGAAGAGGAAGAGAGAGAGAGTGTGAGTGTCCGTGTGTGTGTGGTCGAAGGCCTATCCTTTGTCAAATGATATTATCACACAAAACAAAGACAGCCTCTAATAGGCTAATGGCAGGTTCTGTGAACTGTGCATTGTCCTGCCATGCTAAGATGCCTTGTGACGTGATAGTAGCTCCTCCCCCCATCATGACTAGGGTGCATCTGAAGTGGCACCCTATTCCCTGTAGTACAGTACTTTTGACGCCTATTCCCTATATAGTGCACTACATTTGATGAGGGACAGAAGTGCACTATATAGGGAATAGGGTGCCATTTTGGGCACAGTCTAAGTAGCAATCTGATACAGCAGCCATTATCAGTGAAGTGTCATCATTCTTAATAATTGCCACTGGGACGGAAATACATGAGAAGTAGGCCTATTTCCTTCTGCCTTTAAACAATGTGTCACGACTAGAGCAAAGCATGAGATTTCATTTTGTAGTGCACTATAAAGAGAATAGGGTGCAATTTGGAACTAAAACAGAAGAGCTGAACAGAGATTGGTGACTCTTGGTCATTACTTGCTCTTCAGGTTATTATTGGGTGGAACTGTGACTGGGTTCGATTAACATACTTATGAGTTCTGGCTCTGGCCACAACTGCTGTCTTGAAAAATCTATGGTGTCAGTTTTCAATAGGTTGGGCTGCAAGGTTGTCACAGCAGGGAAGGAAGAGCAGAGAGAGTGTTAGATAGCTAGAGAGAGAGAGAGAAGA